CATCTCCTGAATTGACAGGCAGATTCTTTACCACTGTGCCACCTAAGAAGTCCTATTGCAGGCTGCTTGAATTTCAGCAAATATGCCACACTGTGGTCCAAATTTGTAGACTGAGTGAAAATTTTGCTTATTAGTTCATTAAGTCAGGGGTTCCTGAAAGGCCAAACACAAGGTTTGGGGTAAATTGATAGTGTTTATAACTGTTATTTTCCCTTTTTTTTTTAAATGAAAAGAAAGCCACTTTGGACTTGCTTGACAATATAGGTCATAGAAGTAGTCTGGCAAAAATATCGGTTCTCAGACTGGCTTCATCTTTGGTGAGTTACACAAGTGATAGGTTTTTACGGGGGTGTGGTAACTGCTCATCAATCAGTAACATATTAAAATTACAGTTTGCTGGTAGATTCTGCTCACTGTTCTGTGAACGTCTCATTCTCATTTCCATCACCCCACTGTGCTCACAGGTCTTTTCCATTCACCTTTTCCTGCTTGTTTCTGAATTCTGCCCACTCCTCAGAATCCACTCTGCTCCCTGGGCCTCCAGCTCACCGATTTGGCCTCTGTAACGGGTCTCACACCTATTTTTTTCATCTATTTGTCGCAATTTTTAGCAACTGGGTCACTTTTAAGGCTTTTTAACACTGCTTTCCCACTTTGGAAGTCTTCAAATTAAATTCCCAGGAATCGCACTGGGAACACACATTCAGGTATCAGTGTTTAGGCCAGAACCAATACGTTGCCCGTGTCTTTTTAGGCCCTACAGTCAGGGGACATGTGCTCTGATTTTCCCCGGTTCAAGGTGGCTCTATTAGTCTTTACCAACTCTGTTCAGTGGGCTGTATCTCAATCATAAGGCACCTGACTACAAACCCCAAATCCCAGCTCATCAAAACCCGGAGACTGACATTCCTTATTGCAAATGATGCTTGATCTAAGCCCCCAGAGATACCAAAGCCAGAGGAAGCTTCTGCCATACCCTTGAGTCATGAGACCCAGGAATACTGGGTCCTACTGCTCCTTTAGAGATACCTGCTTTAAAATGATACACCACTGGGTTCTATCAAAGTGCTCTCTAGATTCAAGGACATGCTTTCTATGAGAGAATGAAGGAATTCTGATCTTATTTCATAACTGTACTCAGTCTTACTGCATGTATACTGCATTCTGAATATGGTGCAGAAAGATATTTAAAACACAGCCTTCTGTGAAGAGAGAGAAGCGGTCTGCCTTATCTGCAAGTCTCCTGAGCACTAGAATGATGTGAATAGAGCCAACCTGTGCTTTTTGGCTTGCATATTGTAGATTCTATGTCTCCAAATAAATTTATGATGAGCGTAAAGTGAGCAACTTTACAAATTACAAACATTTTAAAGGCAAATATTAGCTACCTATTATGTTAGTCACTGAGTCATGTCCAACTCTTGTGACCCCATGAACTGTCTCCCACCAGGAGGCACCTCTGTCCTTGGGATTCTCCAGGCAAAAATACTGGCGAGAGGTCCCACACCCTTCTCCAGGGGATTTTCCTGACCTGGGGTTGAATTTGAGTCTCCCACATTGCAGGCAGTTTCTTCACCAGCTGAGCCACCAGGGCAGATCAGCTCTATATTAGATTGATACCAAATTCAAGGAAACAAAAGAAAACAGATTTCCACTCCACATCTGTTCTCAGAAATAGATGCTTTTGAATTCCCCTTCAGCCACTGTGATGTGGAAAAAACAAGCAAATTGAACTTCGATTTCTGTTACTTGGCTAAAATTTCCTCATTTTAATGTCAGTTTTTTCTTTTAGATAGTTTTGCATTTTCCTCCTTATTTTAGAGGTAATCATCTTGAATCTTTCATGTTTCACTTACATAAAAGAGCTTTAAAGTTACCACTAAAAGGACTGAAATCTTTCCTTTTGCCACACTGATTGCCTTGAAAGAGCTCGCTGGCCTTTTGTGAACTGACTTTTTAAAACTATGATTGAGAGCTCTGAATAAAAAAAAGTCACATGTATCATTCATACATGATATACTTTATTTTACTGCCAAATACTGATACCATTTCAAGAGGGAAAATTCCAAGTTTAAAAAGCCCCTTTGGTAACTATTTATAGTAATCTAATAAATGCTAGGACAATCCCTCATTTTTGAAATTTCTCACTTATTATAATCATCTGGCTGCAGATTGTATTCTACTGCAGTATTTTTATCAATTGAAATAATATCACATGGAATAGCTTATAGATTGAACTGGATAACTAACTGCATGACTCTAAGAATTTTTTAAGAGTGCTACAAACACATTTCCTTTCACGAGGTGTGCGTAATCCATATCGTTGTTGGATGATGTTCTCAGAATTTAATCTGCTTGCTACCTAAGTATACGTATTTATCATTAACTTTATCAGCTATGGGGGTCCCCAGGAGGGTCAGTGGTAAAGAACCTGCCTGTCAATGCAGGAGACTTGGGTTCGACCCCTGGGTCAAGAAAATCCCCTGGAGAAGGAAATCTTTACCAACTCTGTTCAGTGGGCTGTATCTCAATCATAAGGCACCTGACTACAAACCCCAAATCCCAGCTCATCAAAACCCGGAGACTGACATTCCTTATTGCAAATGATGCTTGATCTAAGCCCCCAGAGATACCAAAGCCAGAGGAAGCTTCTGCCATACCCTTGAGTCATGAGACCCAGGAATACTGGGTCCTACTGCTCCTTTAGAGATACCTGCTTTAAAATGATACACCACTGGGTTCTATCAAAGTGCTCTCTAGATTCAAGGACATGCTTTCTATGAGAGAATGAAGGAATTCTGATCTTATTTCATAACTGTACTCAGTCTTACTGCATGTATACTGCATTCTGAATATGGTGCAGAAAGATATTTAAAACACAGCCTTCTGTGAAGAGAGAGAAGCGGTCTGCCTTATCTGCAAGTCTCCTGAGCACTAGAATGATGTGAATAGAGCCAACCTGTGCTTTTTGGCTTGCATATTGTAGATTCTATGTCTCCAAATAAATTTATGATGAGCGTAAAGTGAGCAACTTTACAAATTACAAACATTTTAAAGGCAAATATTAGCTACCTATTATGTTAGTCACTGAGTCATGTCCAACTCTTGTGACCCCATGAACTGTCTCCCACCAGGAGGCACCTCTGTCCTTGGGATTCTCCAGGCAAAAATACTGGCGAGAGGTCCCACACCCTTCTCCAGGGGATTTTCCTGACCTGGGGTTGAATTTGAGTCTCCCACATTGCAGGCAGTTTCTTCACCAGCTGAGCCACCAGGGCAGATCAGCTCTATATTAGATTGATACCAAATTCAAGGAAACAAAAGGAAACAGATTTCCACTCCACATCTGTTCTCAGAAATAGATGCTTTTGAATTCCTCTTCAGCCACTGTGATGTGGAAAAAACAAGCAAATTGAACTTCGATTTCTGTTACTTGGCTAAAATTTCCTCATTTTAATGTCAGTTTTTTCTTTTAGATAGTTTTGCATTTTCCTCCTTATTTTAGAGGTAATCATCTTGAATCTTTCATGTTTCACTTACATAAAAGAGCTTTAAAGTTACCACTAAAAGGACTGAAATCTTTCCTTTTGCCACACTGATTGCCTTGAAAGAGCTCGCTGGCCTTTTGTGAACTGACTTTTTAAAACTATGATTGAGAGCTCTGAATAAAAAAAAGTCACATGTATCATTCATACATGATATACTTTATTTTACTGCCAAATACTGATACCATTTCAAGAGGGAAAATTCCAAGTTTAAAAAGCCCCTTTGGTAACTATTTATAGTAATCTAATAAATGCTAGGACAATCCCTCATTTTTGAAATTTCTCACTTATTATAATCATCTGGCTGCAGATTGTATTCTACTGCAGTATTTTTATCAATTGAAATAATATCACATGGAATAGCTTATAGATTGAACTGGATAACTAACTGCATGACTCTAAGAATTTTTTAAGAGTGCTACAAACACATTTCCTTTCACGAGGTGTGCGTAATCCATATCGTTGTTGGATGATGTTCTCAGAATTTAATCTGCTTGCTACCTAAGTATACGTATTTATCATTAACTTTATCAGCTATGGGGGTCCCCAGGAGGGTCAGTGGTAAAGAACCTGCCTGTCAATGCAGGAGACTTGGGTTCGACCCCTGGGTCAAGAAAATCCCCTGGAGAAGGAAATGGCAACCTGCTCCAGTATATTTGCCTGGGAAATCCTATGGACAGGGGAGTCTGGTAGAGTACAGTCCATGGGGTCACAAAAGAATTGGACATGACTTTGTGACTAAACAACATTCTCAGATATTATCTACTTAGGACAGTTGCAAAGGTAGATCTTAATATTTAAAAAAGATAAATGTAACATCTACTGAAAGCGTGTGAAAGCAAGTTTTCATCATAAACTTCAGTGCAATCTGAAGTTTTTTTTTTTTTAAGCATAAAAGAAGGAAGTTTAGGCTGTCTATTTGAAGTCTGATTTTTTCCTAGAGATTACTTGTGTAAAACATCTTGTGAATATTTGCCAGCTCTCAGTTTGTTAGAAGTCTAGCTAAACAAACAAGAACAACAATAAAAACAAGTTACCATCTGAATAGCCTAGGGGATGATACTAGTATTTTATAATAACCTAGAAGGGAAAAGAATATGTATATGAATAACTGAGTCACTATACCATACACTGGAAACTAAGGTGACATGGTAAATCAACTGTGTGTGTGTGTGTGTGTGTGTGTGTGTGTGTGTTAGATGCTCAATCGCGTCTGACTCTTTGCGGCCCCATGGACTGTAGCCCACCAGGCTCCTCCGTTCATCAAATATACTTCAATAAAATAAAAAATTGAAAAAACCAAGACACCAAATCAAATGCTATTGACTATAAACTGAGATTTGCAGGGACCATTAAGAAGCATCATAGCTCTCTCTCTCCAACCCTGAATTGCTTAATAGATCTTAAGATGGGGCCAATCTATTCTAGTTTTCAAATACTACTTTTCTTTTTCAGGGGAACTTGATTTAAATCTGTGCATTGCCAAGGGCACGGAGCAGAGAACATGGATCGAGAGGTAAGATTGATGTAACAGGAGCCCCTTTTTGATTTTTATTTTTCCTTTAAAAGCAGCCTTTTAAGCTTTATTTTTCATAATATAATCCTTGGAGAGAAAGTATGGAAGTGAATGGAAATGCTGTCTCCATTGCAGCTCTCACGAGTAAAGAGGATGATTCACGAGTGGAGCAGACGGTGTAACCGCGAAAGAGAGTCTCTAGAAGTGAAACAAAAGTGCTTTCAGAATTTCCAAGGCTTCCCACCATCCATAGTAGGCCTTCACTGTGCCTGTCCACTGTTTCTATTTTTGATGAGATTTATAAACACAGCATCACATATTTTCATGTGGCTTATCGCCCAGGGGCAGAATTAGATTGACTGCACTGAAGTTATGAGGCTTGTGAGTTTGGGCAAGGGCTAGAGTGAAATAAGTAGTGTAATTGTTTTTGTGGAGTGACCGTGGGACCCCCTCTGTTCTGAATTACACACGGCTCAACCCTTTGACCTAACCAGATTCGGCAGTGGCTGGCGGGACTCCTGAAGCTGTGTGGAAAGGCCCATCACTGACAAGCTGGAAGGTTCTCTGTCAGGGAGATGCAGGCCAACAATCGTGTTAAACTAGAGTGATTACCAGCAAGACCACATTTGTGACCACCTCAGTTTCATTGAACCCACCACGATTATTTCAACAGAGCTGCCAATGCGATAAATTTGTGGAATCCAAATGAAGCATGGGCCCTTTGATGAACAGAAGACGCATAAGTATATAAATGTTAATATACTAAAATTTGGATTATCTTCAAGGAGATTTTGCCAAATTATTCAAATATCATTATAACGATCTAAAAAAAATACGTAAGGTTTGGGAAAGTGCTATAAGCCATAATAAAAAGTTCTTTCATTGCAATGAGTTTAATTTAAATTCTTCAAAAAATAGATGCCAGTCCCCTGATATAATTCCTCAAAGGAATCAAAGCTAAGCGGGATGCAGGGAACTTCTGGAAAAAGCTGGAAAGAATCATATGTGCTGACATTTTTGCATTTGCTGAGAACTGAGTCTGTGATTCACGTGATAGAAAGTCAGATCAATGTATCTATTTAAGATTTGGAAGTCAGTCACTCAAGGTTTTTATTTTTGATTCAGTTCTTAAATTTTCAAAGGTAATAGAAGTAGAGAGCTTTGGTTTACTTTCAAGCACTTGCCAGTTTTTCCAAAACGAGTTCCATTTCTGAAATTTGTCTAAAATGCTTTCATCTGCTTTTTTTTTCATGGCCAGTTTTACAAAGTAAAGGTCTTTATAGGTGTTTTGGGGCTTCCCTAGTGATTCAAATGGTAAAGAATATGCCTACAATGCAGGAGACTCAGGTTCAATCCCTGAGTTGGGAAGATCCCCGGGAGAAGGGAATGGCTCCCACTCTAGTACTCTTGCCTGCAAAATCCTATGGACAGAGGAGCCTGGTGGGCTATAGTCTGTGGGGTTGCAAAGAATTGGACAGGACTGAGCATCTAACACTTTCACTTTTTGTAGGTGTTTTGTGCTTGCAACAACTTAGAAATCATTTAGCATTTAAATTTTTTCTTTCTCATCAGAGGCAACTCAGGCTGAATATTAATTCAATTCTTACTTATCTGACATTTAATTTTTTAAAAAGAATATGCAACTTTACATTTTTGGAATGTTATTCATCTACTCTGGGAACCCTAAAAGATCAGAATAGGAAGTCATTTTCAGATCATTTACAGAAGATAAAAAACACTATTACGTGCTATAAGGCCCCCAACAAAACTGCACTCAGCCCCACACAGTCTTATTCTCATTAGCAGTGAAGGGTGTGCGCACCACTAATCTAACATGGACTGCTTAGAGCAGACAGGTGCAAATTGCAAGCTGTTTCACTTTGGCTGTTATCCCTTAAATAGACAAAGTAATAGACTGGGAGAACAAAAAGAGTTCCTGCTCAAGCTGAATAAATGAAAGCCTTAACAGGGACACACCAGCTGTCTAGGAGAATTCAACATCGCGAATACTAAATATCAGCTTTATGCCGCTTGCCAAGGAAGAGGGCTCCAATCACACCCCTGCCTTTTATTATTGGGAGGATGTGGCTTCCAAACCGAACTTTGCTTTAGTGTAAAGGCAACAGGGTGGCCGAGGTGGGTGAAAACAGAAACCAACATACCGGGCGCTGTTTACCATCACTGCAGGCCACCCAGCAATCCAGGCATGAGTGGGTTCCTATAAGGTGGGCCAGACAGTATTTCTACCCGTGTCTTTTTTGGGGTGGTGGGGTGGGGAGGGGAGGGGGCTGATCCAAGCAAAACTCCAGAGCACGGAAGCAGCAAAAACAATCACCACCACCCGCTTCTCCCAACACGATGACTGCCCAGCGAGTCTGCGGAACAGTGGTTCACCTTAGGAACACCTCCGCTGATTTCATGGAACAGACACGCCAGGCC